TCAGGCCCTCAGCCTAGCGAAACAATGAACAATGGAGAGCCCACACGTGTTAGTCACGTGAAACAGAGAACCTTTCGAAATAACCAGAACTGAGATTTTACGACATGGGACCGTAACCGTTAAATTTATTTTCTTCTCTAAATTTGGATTTTCGAGGAAAGTGTTTACTCAACGAGAATTTGGAGGGTTGTAAATTATAAGAGCAAAACTCAAGTATTTGACATTTACTATTTCCGTAACGGTTTTTCTCACGCTTGCGATGCTGTTTTTCGTTCTCTTTGTCCATTGTATTCCAGACTTTCTTTATTCTTCTATTTCTGGTATATTTTTAATTTCCTGAACTATTTAAATTATTTTCCAACAATAATTTGAATCTCGCGGACTATTATGGCCGATTAATAGCGCCATCTATAAATTTCAACGTCAAGACATCACAATGCCGGAGTGGTGGGCGGTGGGGGGCCTTCGGTTAAACCCGATGTTCCTTCTTTCCTGGTGAGAACTATATCAGTGTTGCCTAGCTTGTTATCTTTACGTCGAAGGTGGAACCAACGCGAGAATGCAGCCGGCGTTACAGGCTGATCAATTCAAAGTTCACAACTGAAGTGTCAAGAGGTGTTCAAACCTCAAGTGTGGAGACCGAGCATTCTCAAGGAACGACCGCTTATGTCACGTATTTCATATGATTGATAATGCCTCTAGTTAATCATAGAACTTGAGGGTCTCCTCGATATTCCTTTTCAATCGCTACTCTTTTAATTGTAGACTGGAGTTAGTCTCAGTTTTATTTGGATATCAACAATATGGTCAAGTTGTACACGTCTTTGGCATACCCTAAGGCATTTCGAAGTATTATTCTGGGCGCACCCGCTTCCGGTAAGGGCACAGTGTCTTCCAGGATCGTTAATTGTTTTGGAGTTACTCACATTTCTAGCGGAGATAAATTAAGAGATCATGTGGCTCGTCAAACAGGTACTGAAAGCTCAGCAGATTCAAGGCTTTTTACATTCAAATACGAGAAAAATAAAGCATTTTTCTTTTCTTCATTTTAAATTATAGAAGTCGGAAAACGGGTGAAAAAATACATGGACGAAGGTAGTTTCGTGCCGGATGATGTTATAATTGAATTAATTAGCCAGGAATTGAAATCTGTGAGGGACAAAAATATTCTACTTGATGGTAAGAAACAAAAAAAAGTGTATTACTCCAAATAAGAAAATTGCTTTCAAGTTATCTCGTCAACACAGCACCAGTTGGTGCAGGTTATGAGAAAAATTTTGAACATTATCTATCTAAATATTTCAATCAATAATTGAATCTTCTTCATTTCAATTTTAATCCGTAAACATATACGCTCTTTTAAACTGCACACTTTGGTCAATTGCCCAAGTCCATATTTTTTTCGGTTCATGGACCATATTATCGTTGCTTCTATATTGATCTTAAACTACACCTAGAGAATTCCTTTTGCTTCCGAATGGCAGTATTGTAAACATGATTCATTCAATCGTCTAATTTGGGGGCGGAGGGGGGGGGGGGGAGAAATGACTCAGAAATATGTACGTACAAAAAAACTGACTAGCCCATTCCCTTCGTAGCTACTTCCTATCCCCATGCACATCTGTATCTCCCACCTCTGAAAACCAAGGGAATGGACTGGCCAGTGCGACAGTATTTACGGATGTGCCTTCGTTTCAACTCCATCAATAATTCTAGAAGAGTTCCTTTCTTTATATGTATCCCGTAATACTGGCAACTAGTTCCACTAGGAATCGTAGGTTATGCATTGAGTTCCTATTTCCCCACCACTCATCTCGGTGGAACGATCTCGCCAGTGGTATTTATTATTTGATGTTTAATGGTTCCGGCTGTTTCGGACAGAGTGTACAGTCTAACGGCTGCTCGCCAGTAGTATAATATTAATATCCTATCCTATATTCCTATATTAATAAAATCCTATATGATGAATGACATGGATGCGTTTCGCAATCGACGTCAAAGAGGATTGACTAAAGTAGAGGCTCAGATCTCGGGGTTGAAGTGACCCCAAGCCAAAAATAGTTCGACCCCAACGGAGCGATGGCGCCACGGTCGAATCTGACGGCTGGGCGAACTGCCTGTGCGGGTAACTCGGCAGTAGCAGTCCCGCTCAGTGATGCCAGATGAGGGGAAAAANCAGGGGAATTTATGTCCTCCTCGTCGTCAACATGTTCTTAATGTTTTTCAGGTAATTCATTTGCTGGCTAATTAATATTAAGGAATGAAACTCAGATGGTGTGATAGAGAATTAAATTCCCCATCAATCGATCCCCGTTGCATCCCTTAATCTCTGTAAGAAAAAAATACAAACTACGACAAAAGTCATGGGTCAGTGAGAAAAATTATAGTTTCGCGGCGCAGTGACTCCCGGTAATTAAAAATTCATCTCTCCCCTCCTAATTGAGATTAAGGGATGAAAAAAGGGCACTTCGGCGGAGAATTAAATTCTCCATTAATTAACGCTCTTTCATCCCTTAATCTCTGTAACAAAAAAATATAAACTGCCATGAAA